ATGTGTGTGTGTATGTGTGTGTTTGAGCGTGTATATATATATATATAAATGTATATAAATGTATATATATATATATATATGTATGTATGTATGTATGTATATATATATATATATATATATATATCAGCATGTATGTATGTATGTATGTATATATATATGTATATTTAATATATATGCATGAATATATTTGTATTTAAGTATATATATATATATGTATTATCAATATAGTATACTCCCTTTGTATACACGGGTGCGTGATGCACTTCGAGAAGTAGCTGCCTTATTGTTCACAAGTAGTCCCTCAATTCTATGCCTTAGTGTCGGTGTTTATTCTGGGGGGGGGGGGAAATCTGGTGTGCGTCTTCTGTATGTATGCCTTTCGTATACATCCAAGCTATACTATAGTCTGGTATACTTTCGTTGTATTTATAAGTTCGTGATACACCCAGCGGGACGAGGAGTGGCTACCGAGTCCAACACAGGCGGTCCCGGAATTCCACATTTCGAATACCGGTATGCCGTCTTATCAGGATTAAGTTCCGAGTTCCTTCCTGAGCGAGCTTATCTGTGGTCGGTACCAAACATGAGTGAGTGATCAGTTCGACCACAATGTGTGCCTCGTCCATTAAGAGAGATAGGTATAGAGAGGTAGGAGAGAGAGGTCTTTGTACTAGCCCTATGGTAAACGCTATAAATACCCAGATTCAACGATGATACAGACGGTGATATAAACTTGTTCTGGCGACATATCCAGTCATGGCCCAGTCTCAATGATCAGTATCAGGCTTCGATGGTATGAGTTATAAGGCGGTTGAGGAACTCACTCTGACCTCGTTTTCGTAAATGGTATTTAGTATCTGATCTTTACCGAAATCCAGATAGGGCATTTGGAGGTGCATCTGGTTTTGCTAAATCCAGATAGCAGGTGGATCTTGTGGTCTGAAGTGACTGTGTAACCTAAAATAAACTATCTATAGCAAGCTTCGATGCATTAATACCCGGTGATAGGGCTTACCCTGGTCTCAAGTCCGCAAAGAGTCTTAAATATATTGTCTATACCGAAGACCGGATATGATTCTTGGTGGCGACTCTTATTTTGGCCTAAAATTCCTGTACTGTCTATACTGAATGATCTATAGCAACCTTCGATGAATTGATAGCCCGCGATAGCGCTCACTTTGGCCTCAAATTCATATATGGCCTATAGTCAATAATGTATAGCAAATGCAGATATGAGATGATAGACAATGGAGTATTCTTATGATACTTTAGTCTCGTGCTCACATATGGTCTGTGTAAATGATGTATAGTAAGTGCCTTTGTGAGATGATCGACGATGTTATATACTCGTACTCACATATGGCCTATAGTCAACAATGTATAGTAAGTGCCTTTGTGAGATGATCGACGATGTTATATACTCGTACTCACATATGGCCTATAGTCAACAATGTATAGTAAGTGCCTTTGTGAGATGATCGACGATGGTATATATGTATGTTACTTTACACTCGTACTCACATATGGCCTGTGTATATGACGAATAGTAAGTCATTATAATATTGATAGTCTGTAGTGGCACTTACTTTGACCTCGAGTTCTTGGCGGCGAATTTCCTTCTCATCTCTCTGTGCAACGATTGCGTTGTACTTTAACTCCTGTGTGGATGAGAGGCACTGGGCTACGTCTATATTCTCGATATAAAAAAACGTTCAACTATTATATATAGAAATGATGTATATATAGTACTCAATAATTGAGTAAACGGTCTTCTTATTAGTGCCATTTTGCACACGATACAGCCACTTATGCATATGAATTATCCAACCTAAATCCCCTACACGCTAAACACCTATGCATTGAATCTCCACCGTACACATAGTTGGTAAAGAGCCATCAAAGCCTCGTGGATATTTAACTATAGTACACGCAAGCCAAAACCCTCCCACACACATATATATAGATAGTTTACCGTTCAAGGCAACGACGCTCTCATACCCACATATGTGCTCATATACATACTAATTAAGAGAACCCTCTTATGTACACCCATCAAACGGCTGTGTCATGAAAACGGCCTTACCTTTTGCTGCAGGTCGGTTTTGTTTTTCCTCAGATTCTCCTTCGTATTTGTGATCTGCCCCAGCAGACGAAAAATGGGCCCCAATAGATCAGTAGGTTGTGAATTGCTTTATGTTGATTTGCATCGTGTAGTCTTTGTCCCGGAATGAAAGGTAAGTAAACCAGTGCAACAGCATGTATAGTCAAAGAACTGTGTTGCACAGCAAACAATGGCGTTGTGACCTGAGACCGTGTGTCTCCATACAGGAATGGATCATTAGATTGTAGATATATTTTAGAGTTTAGGGTTTAGGGTTTGGCATATCTGCTTGATTGCATTTCAACAGACTACTCGTAATCTGTATATAGTTATCTACATATGGTTCTACGATACACACATACAAAAGCGCACAGACTGAACGTGCATTCACTTCATCGCACAGTATATGTACGTATAGATATACACACTCCAATGAGCAAGGTCACTAATCTACACATACCTACATTGAATACTATACAAAACATAGAACATGCTCATCCATCTACACATACCTACATTGAATACTGTACAAGGCATAGGATACATATACCTAAATTGGATATTATACAAAGCATATAATAAGCTCATACATCTACACGTACCTACATTGGATACTATACAAGGCATGGCACATTCTCACACATCTACACATACCTACATTTGATACTATACAACACACAACCCACAACCTACCTTCCGGTGGTATGTCCGAATATTGCGCTCCTCTGTTCGTATCCGATCCGACAACTCCTGTAACGTAAACCGTGGCGCTTCTTCGTCTTCCTGCAGACCGTTATCAGCAACATCTACTTGTTCTGTGGTAGATTATATCGATATATGTCGACAGTGTGTTTAGAGTTGTATGTGTGTCTATAACAACTAGTATATATCAAACTTAGTCTTATTGTTTCTATTGCATCGTATCTAAAATATATCATAGTCTTATCTTTTCTATAAAAGCATGCACAAAATATATCATACTTCGTATCATTTTTAGTCTTTTTATTCCTATAAGGCATTGACAAAATATATCATACTTAGTTTCCTACTTCTTGATATTCCTATAAAGCATGTATTAAACATATCATACTTGTTATTATATTTAATCTAATTGTTTTCTTTAAGGCATGTATAAAATATAACATACTTATATCATAGTCTTTATTCTTATATAGAATGTATAAAATATATCATACTTAGTGAGTCTTATTATTCCTATAAATCATGTATAAAATAAATCATACTGAGTATCAGACTTAATATTATTCTATAGTATAGAATGTGTAAAATATATCATAGTAGGTCTAAATATTCCGATAAGGCATGTATAAATATATCACACTTAGCATCATATTTAGTCATATCATTACTATAGGGCAAATGAATATATATATATCATACTTAGTATCATAGAGTTATTATTCTTATAGAGTATATACAAAATATATCATACTTAGTAGATCTTATTTTTCCTATACGACTGGTATATAATATAAGATACTTGGTATCATACTTAAGTCTTACTTGTATAATTTAGAAGGCTATGATAAAAGCATGTACCAAATATATCATACTCGCGACTTATTATGATCGTGTCTATATAATAACTCATACCTCGTCTTACTACTACTATTTGATCCTATCTAAAATATATCGTACCTAGTCTTATTAGTACTACTTAATCGTATCCAAAATATATAATACATAGTATCACACTTAGTCTTATTATTCCTATTAAATCATGTATAAAATATACCATACGTAAGACTTATTAACGTGCATGATAAATATCATACTTCGTCTTATTACTACCAATTGATCCTATCTAAGATACACCATACTCAACCTTACTACTACTATGATAAACAAGTCCTTTTTAATCTGCCAATCTGTACGCATAAAATATGATATAGCATTGTGTGCCACCTACCTGTTGGTACTTGCGCATTCGCATTCGCTTTGGCTGTCTCGGCATCTCGCTCTTTACGTTTGTGCTGTTCGATTGCAAGCTCCAGTCGCTTGTCGGCTAGAGCAGCCTCCATCTATAGCGTTGACGTATGAAAACATGGTATATATATATACATATATATATATATATATATATATGTGTGTGTGTGTGTGTGTGTGTGTGTGTGTGTGTGTGTGTGTGTGTGTGTGTGTATGTGTGTGTGTGTGTGTGTGTGTGTGTTGTGTATGTGTATGTGTGTGTGTGTGTGTGTGTGTGTGTGTTTGTGTGTGTATGTGTATGTGTGTGTATGTTTGTGTGTGTGTGTGTACACGTGTATGATATAAAATTGCAATTTAAAAAAGTACTCCATACCTGCATATGTCAAAACGTACCAAATGCATGAACTCTATACCTACCTCCCGATGCTGTTGATTCGTCTGCCGGACCAACTGAGCGTTGGCAGCCTTGTGTCGCTTGTTCTCCTCCAATAAAAACTTCAACCTATGGAGGCAACACCACTGTTTGAGTTTGTGGGGTAATGACTCATAATCGTGCTACCACACTCCACAATTATACATATGCATATGCATACACACACATATATATATATATATACATACATATATATATATATATATATATATATATATATATATATAT